GTATTCAACACACCAACACAGTCCCAACTAGTAACCACTAGTCATTCTTATTCACTAGTTGTATTCAACACACCATTGCAGCCCCAACTAGTATCCTAATGCTAGTCGTTATCCACTGTATATTCGATGGATGGAAGCCACAACATGAGTAAACGTGTTAGAAGTAGTCTAAAGATTCAATATTTTTTGGTTCTTCAGCGTGACCTTCTTCGTCTTGGACTGGACGAGATGATTGACATGTTCAAGCCGCCTTTACTACACGATATGTACAAGGTAAGGACAAACTAACTCGTGTAAGAACAATTACAGTACGTCGTCGGAATGCAGCTCTGGGGGATATAGCAATAGGTTTCCAATTTTCAGGATATCGAAATTCTTTTGTTTTGTCCTCTAGATCGAGCTGCCTTGACGTCACATGTAAGGAGCCTATTCTTTATTTCTCCTAATATTTTTTGGGTTCTTGTATTTCTTATTTTAGATCGATTTTATACCTGTCGTAAGACCACAAGGATCAGAAAGGTAAAATATGTTGTTCCGTAATAAGTTTTTAATAAAAATACGAAAATAAGCATCACATTATCTTAATATTGACCTAAAAGATTTAGTAAACTTATCGTAAATTTCTCGTAAGATTGGCATGAACTTGTAGGTAACGTTTTTGTAAAACCGACAAACTTCTTGATGATAACAAAGCATTCCCCATTAGCTTCTCCTGCTAAATCAACCAAGATGGCGGCTGTTCCATTGGTATCCTCCTATTCTTGGGGTGCATGTTACGTCATAGCCGCCATGTTAGTTGACGATAACGAAGCATGCTTCATTAGCTTCTCTTGTTAGATCAACCAAGATTGCGGCTGTTTCAATGGTATCCTCCTATTCTTAGGGTGCATGTTACGTCATAGCCGCCATGTTGGTTGACGATAACAAAGCATTCCTCATTAGCTTCTCTCGTTAGATCAACCAACATGGCGGCTGTTTCATTGTTAATTTTATCTCAAGGGATTTTGAACCATGTGGTTGCAGCCAAAAAATACCTCAATATACCCCTTGCATCAGACGTCAAAGCAGCTCAATTTGGAGGACAAAAAAAAAAGAATTTCAATCGCATAAGAATCATATTGTTATGTCCTCCAACGAGCTGCATTCCGACGGACTCCCAAAGGGTCTTATACTCACTGAAACCTGTTAAACAACCAATATCGTAAACTATAGAGGTTCAAGAAGTAATATATTTTGTTCTAGTGCTGTGACCAGGAATTATGTAGAAGAGCGATACGTGATCCAGATCAGCCTCCTCAAGTGCACGGGTCTTATTTACACTATCAAAGGAGGAAAGTAAGTATGCGATATTCATGTGGAATCTAGGGTGTCGGTGTCGTTTCAGGGTTTGATCTGTGAGTTAGCCGTGCCCTGACTTAGATCAGCCCAGAGATTGTTTCAAGGTTCAATCTGTGAGTTAGCCATGCCCTGACTTAGATCAGCCCAGAGGTTGTTTCAGGGTTCTACATGTGAGTTAGCCATGCCCTTAGATCAGCCCAGAGGTTGTTTCAAGGTTCGATCTGTGAGTTAGCCGTGCCCTGACTTAGATCAGCTCAGAGGATGTTTCAGGGTTCTATTTAATTGTGAGTTAGCCGTGCCCTGACTTAGATTAGCCCAGAGGTTGTTTCAGGGTTCGATCTGTGAGTTAGCCGTGCCCTGACTTACACTTTAGCCAATGATATACAATAATCTCAAGAAGTGTTTTCACGGAATCCTATTACTCCTAATTTTAAAAAATCCATTTGTTTGACATTTTATTTAGAAGAATTTCATAAAAGTCGACAGCTAATTGCTAACGTCTCGCCTTAAGGACGCCTTAGTCTTTATACTCATTAATGCACCAAACATTATGGGAATGTCTTATGTAATTAAATCGACGGTCTCTTCGATAATATACCAAATCTTCTTCCAGATTTATTTAAGTCTAGTCAGAATTCATTAAGCTATTCCGATTCATATCAAGTTACGGAACACGATTTTAATCATCTTAAAGCATCCTGAATGACGAACGCTTAATGAGTTGGATTTAAAATCTTTCCTTTTTACTGAGTGGTATAAATATAGATTTGAGTCATTTGTAAAGAAAGGTGTGGGGGATAGCTGTTGCATCAATTTCTTTTCTTTTTTTCGTAGATGTTATTTCCGTCACAAGTCAGCAAATATAGAGGTAAGTTGGAATATGATTGGTTCAAAAATACTCATATTCAACAGTTTGTTTTGAATAAACTGACTGACTGACTGACTGACTGACTGACTGACTGACTGACTGACTGACTGACTGACTGACTGACTGACTGACTGACTGACTGACTGACTGACTGA